CCAGCCCCGCGTAGGGCGGCATAGGCGGCTTGCCGATGCGCCAACGTAGGATACAGATCAGCCGATGGCTGCAATAAGGGAGTTGAGAGACGCCAGGTAAGAGAACTGAATTTCGCCGACTACGTTCTGCGTCTTCGGTGTACATACCCATCAAGTTAAGCTGAAGAAAAACGGCTAACAAATTATTTATTTTTTATATTTATATCAGTAGCTCAATACAGTTTACTTAAGAATATGATACCTATGTACGTCTTTTTTTAAAGAAAAAGTGTTGTTCGATGTGCTATACTGCACAATGGTCCACACGGCGGGAAGAATCGTCCAATATTTTTTGAAGATTACAAATTCATTTATATTGAACCATACAGAAGGAGGCCGAGGTGCTTCCTAGAAGGACGTTCATACGTTGAGCTTCAATGCAAAGGGGAGTGCTTTCATTAAAAGGGACTGTGTGTAATATAGCTCTTTTTCAAGCACAGCAGATGTGTTAACTGATCAGAAGAAGAAGCGATCGCTGGAACAAGGTCTTTATTCGCCTGACGTTTCGGAATCTCTGATGATGGATTCAAGTGAGAATCCGAAATGTCAGGCGAATAAAGACCTTGTTCCAGCGATCGCTTCTTCTTTTTCTTCTGATCAACTAGTTCTTGGAACTCGCATCTTCGCTTGTATCGGTGATGTTTTAATTCCAGAAATGCCAACCGAAACTCGGAAATGCGAAATGTGAGTGAAACTATCAGTCCGCGAATCCGAGTCTAAACATTTTCTTCCAAGTCTGATGTTTTGGCTTCGCTGTGATACACAAATTCCAACTAAGCACAGAATGTTGCGTACTGCTGCTTAGTTTCTTCTCTGTGTAGAGGGAAGTTTACCGCTCTACAGAAAGTGCTCAAGGCTGCGAAAGAGTGGCAGCTCTACATTAGAAAACATGCGTTGTTGTCAAGAAAAATCACCTTTGTGGTTTTGTCGACGAAAAGTAAAGTACCGGGGATAGATGCCCAACATGATAAGATCTGAAAGCTGACTGAAGTGGTGTCAGAGGGTGGGGTTGCAAACGAATTCAAGGAGTTCGTGTGTCTACTAATGTGTTCCTCCATTGAATTGATTTTTATACTCTGGCAGAGTCTGGATTTGCTCAGGAACAGTCAACAACAAGAGTAAATATGTTGGGGAAGACGAGTCACCCCTTTTTGCAGTAGTATGTTTCAAATTGACTTTTCGGCATCGATAAACCAAATATGTTTTATAATATTTCTGGCTCCTTCATAAAGATGAAATTGCGAATAACTTTAGTGTAAGAGAAGTCTTCCAAACACGCATATAGATCAGATTCGATTGTAAGCCAACGAAAGAGTCGGGGCGAGTCATTTTGAACTTATTCCCGTATGCCGAAAATGGTGGGTAAGCCGAGTGGCTGCAGATGAACCGAGGGTAGAATGTCTCAGACACCCTGTTCAGATAATTGGAGGACTAACATGAACCCCGTGCACGCTTCATGCCTGAATATTATGCGGCTCAAATGAGACTTTATAGCAAGGTGCACTAGGACGCATGTTAGAAATTTATAACGGAGGTCATATCTACTCATGCCCCCAGAGGACCAGACCAACCCAGAGCCTCTACCTCACTTCTTACTGATCGGTCACGGCGACATCGGACAAAAAAACAGCGAGGCAATTTTGCTCGAAGACCACCGACTGAGTGAGAAGGATGAGAAGTAAGAGCAAACGGTATATATGAAAAACGACGGGAAGGGGGAAAGGCGGGCAGGGCTAGAACACTGAAACACACGCCAGCACCACCGCTGTTTCTTCAGTCGCGCACTGTACAGCCCTCCTACCCTACCTTCCACCTCGCAAGACTCAGACTTATTGGCTAGTGCCATCGACGGACAAACTTATAGACGCAGACAGTATGTAGAGGAGAGGGAGCGGAACGACATCAAGCTGATAATATCACTTATAAGGCAGGACCTGGGGGTTCAAATGCCTAATCAGATTTCTCCATTCAGCGGACTGCGACTGATAGCAAGTGCTTCTTCAAACAGCCGATTCAGGATATGCGCAACTGGTCGTAGGCAGCACGACTCTCCAAGAGCGAGTTTCGCTGGATCTGCCTATTCGATTAGAAGAAAAGCACTATACTTCATGCTTTGTTGGGACTACCGTCACCTGGACAACGATGGGTCCCATATAGAATAAAGTATAGCGAAGAACACGTACGCAGTATTTTGGTTGGTTTCTTTTTCCATTCCTAATCCATTCCAGGTACAAGAGTGACCCATGACGATTGGAAATGGGGCGGCGGCTGCTCAGAGATATTCCCTTGCCACACGTGGTTTTACGCCACACGTAAGCAGGTGTTCATTCACAGAATTTAGGCTCGGACCGAGGTCAGAAGCACCACTGACATATTTTTGAATGAAAGAGGAAGGAAACAGTGCCGCCTTTGCTGACCACTGGCGTTCTAGAGTAAAGAGGTTGTATGCACGCTGCCCAAAAGGGAAACGTTTCATAAGAATGACGCCCATCGGCCTGGCCCGATCGAAGGACGGAACACATTCTGTCCTGCGTCTTGGGACTAGCGGCCGCACAGGTTGTCGCATTACGATGATGAACAATAAGCGAGCGGCGTGTTAACAAAGGCTGGCAGAGCGGAATGGCCAAACCCAGGAGTCCAGACATCGCTGGCTAACCACTGTCAAGTCGCCAGTCCAATTGAGTCAGGTGAGTCTTCGGCCCTGCCCGGTATGGATACGTGGGGATGTTCCAGTCTTCATCCCACACTCTACCGCCCCCGGTCCTCCTTTGAGGTGCGAGCTAAGGGCAATCTTGAGGAGGGGCCAAAACAGTTTATTCCGACCCAGCAAACTCTCCCCCCTCCAGACTAACGGATGCAAGTAGGGATGGCGCGGAGTATGCTGTGCAGATGACCTTAATGACGTGACGTACGGAAACATCGCTGCACGGCTCTACGATTCACCAGAATGGGCCGTCCGTGGCGTGACCTCGCTGCTTGGAGAATTGGGATTCCGAATCTGTGGGTCGTAACAAATCCGGAAGAGGTACTTCCGTCATCCACGCATGCCAAGAAGACCAAAGGCATGTCTAGGAGAAGGTACCAGCTCTTAGTTAGTTCAAAACATTTAGAGCGTCAGGGATGGCTGTGTGCTAGTTACTGCTATCACATATGTTAACCCTAAAAAAGGGCCACGCCGTAGATGTGTTGGAACACAGGCGGCTAGATCAAACTCCGGTAGGCGTTATCGAAAATGCGCATGTATAACAAGTACCAACATTTGGCGTGCGGTGGCACGCCCCATTGTCGGTTCACTCTGTGACATTTTAGATCCGTGCCGCCCCCTATTTGTGTAGTGGTAGTGAATCCTGGGAAGTGTCCGTTGTGAACCGCGGGGTTTGGTGGTACGCTTAGGTGCGGACTTACGCCGTGCCAACCACCTGTGCCCTCTCCCGCCTCCAGTCTTCTTGACTCTGTATTGACACCGGACGCAGGTGGGATGAGGGAGAGAGAGTGCGGTAGATGGTGCGCAAATATAGCATCACTATAGACCCATTCGTACCCTAATTTACCTTCCCTGCTTTCACCCTGGTGTGGAGCACACGGTGGACGTCGTCGACATCGACAGTCGAACCGTCGTATATATGTATATATATCGTAGGAAGGTTTTCACCAATCGGGTAGCGGGACATGCTCGTTCCGTTGTGGATTGGTGCTCGATCTAGAGCCCCAAAGACAATCATTCATCAACTATTGACGTATGCAGGATGATATTTCTGACAAAGACAAGAGAGACTTTATCGGCCATTCCAGCCAGCCTCACTCAAACTCAGGTTTGGAAGTGCCTGCGGTTCGAGTCCGTGTCCTAGCAATTACTAAGTGCTAGTAAGTCCCATGCCATTCGGGATTGGGTTTTCAATGTTATCTATTCTAATAGCGCCTATCATTTCGCCGAATACCAGTTTACGGTTACTTTCGAAATAAACCTAAGGCACGGATTAGGCAGTGCCTGACATAAAATGCAGCGTAGTTCACTTCACAAAACTTGATATGATTTTGCCGACTGAAATTATTTCTTATGCCGAGGATACCAGAGCGAAGAAAACTGCCGCACAAGGGATGATTATAGGTTCGAGCGAATGAGGGTCAAGGCATGTTTCTATGCTCAACTTTTTTGCATAGAAAGTAGCCTGGAGTAGGCGCTGTGAAGAAGATCAGGGAGTGAAGGGGTGAGCAGTGGCCGACAAATTCACCGACGAGGCGATAAACACCAGAGTCGACGGCGATCTTTTGCGTGGAATAGGGGAGGGCAGGTTGAAGTGCATGAATATAATTGCTGCAGAAGACGAGTTCGGTGAATTTAGGGCTTACTCATTGAGTACACTGCTCTGAACTCAGAGGGAGAGAGTGTTTGCGATAATCTGTTTAAATAATGGACGATTCATCATGAGCTTCATATTTCTCAGTAGCTTCTTCCAAATATTGACGGCATTTGGAGAAATTAACAGGAAATATTTAACCGTAGGCGCACACTGACGAGCTAGGTAGACATCACTATGATAATCACGCTCAGGGTGGTTTAGATGTATCAAGACAGAGGTGGGTCCAGCGTTTGACTGCTTAATACGTGAAATGGTAGAAACAGTATACTTTTAATCTTTAAAGCCCCGTTGGATCAAGGTTCGTGGTTACGTAATGTTCTCTCGATTATACACAACTGGTTTCAGCATATTTGTACCGGTTTGTGATGACTGTCAGAGTGGAGTTCTTTATTGAGTATGTCACTGGGGGAAATTTCTCCCCAGGCACGGATCCAAATTAGAACGAATGGCCGTTCTGTATGGTTGTTATGAAGTCCAACTGCATGTTGGGAAGGACCACCTACGGGAATTCCAAAGAGGCTGCAGCAGCCGAATCTGAAGACGTCTTTTGGGCCTATAATCCATAAGTGGCCTAAAACCCTGAATTATTTTATAAAAGCTATGGAAAATAATCGCATTGTTCATGAATACAATACGTGGTGAGTACCGTAAAACGGACAAATATGTATCAGGTTAAACACCCCCTTGATCAATGGCGTCGCACTTCACCCGGTCCTTTAAAATGCGGTTAACAATGCCTTGAATGAGATTCTGAAATGATTCTTGAGATAATGCTACGACGATGGTTAGGATTTGGTGTTTATTGAAAAGAAGGGCGATGATCAGATTAAGTACTGTGCCTCTTTCCGAAGGAAGAATTAAGCTGTTGATTAGGACTCTACTCTGAAATTGCACTTTAAAACCAAGGGTTGGGCATTTTCCGGGGGTTCAAACGGCGGTCCTAACCAGCCCGATGGAATTTTAAGCAGGACATGAGGCTTGTTCAGGGACAATTATTTCACGCGAGAAACAGGGGAATAGGCTGCATAGTTTGCTTGGAAACCGATAAAGTTTAACACAGCCCCGAGCGCTTGCAGTGTCTTATGATGAGATCCGCAAAACAGAAGACATGCGAACCACTGAACCAGGTTCAATGCTGCAAGTGTGGTTTATCCTTTTACAATACGCACACTTTAGTAAGTAACCTTCTATTTGGATAAATAGCCAGCAGTTCCCTGGCAGGAAGTGCCTACTTGCTCCCGGATACTTTATAGCGTGGTTTTTGAAACATTGATTAGTCTCTTACCCGAAATGGTAAAGGTAAAAAGTACCACAGCAAAATCGTTTCCTGTTACACTCCCCGCCCCAACAGATGTGCGATTTCCGAATGAAATTTTGTCCGCATACTTCCCGTAAACTTTCATATCGCTAACTGGGGAAGTTGTTTCCGTTAAAAGGGCTTTGATGAGAAGTTTAGCGAAATACGTTAGCGAGGTAATCACAACTACGTTCACAGCGCATCCGACGCGACCGCATACCCGGTCGGAGAGGAAACTGGATACATGTTTGTGTTTTGAGGGTCTTCACTGCGCGTTGTCGATGAGACGGTACATCAACGGCCATAATTATTCACATCAGCTTGTCCATGAACCTTAGGGACGTGTTTTCCTTCAGCACTTCCCACCACTGTCTACAGAAAACCTGATGGCCAGGTAACTTCGGCTGTCATTCCATACTGATGTTCATGTATCGTCTGATCCTCCATCTCCCTGAATTACAGATCAAGTCGTCCCTCCTACATTTCGCCGAACGGTAATCCTCGCTTGTACCGTCTCAATAACACACAACCTGCTGTCTGATGCCGTGATTGGGAAGCCTTCCTGAAAGAATTCTTGTCGGTCTAGAATGTCAGAACATGGCAAGCCAAGCTGAAGTTCGAATGGGGAAAGGAGACATCGGTCAAATCTCCACGTTTCGACTACGTCGACTTCTATCAGTGACCGACCACTATCCGCTCCGTAAACTTTGGAACCACGTCCGAGTGTTGGCATGTCTATTCAAATAACGTCCTTTATCAGGGACTGCTACCTACAAAATGGTGTCAGTGCGCGTCTGGTCGGTCAAAGGTAATTAGTCAAAATTGGAACTGAGGTGCTCGGTCAAGGCTAAGACACCTTCATGGCTTCATGCAGACTGTGCATTCAAAGCGATTGGTGGTCGTGAAGTAAGAGAGTCCAACCCCGTGGATCGCGGATAACTAAATAAATCCTCACAAGAAGGAAGTGATCAAGTAGGCAAGATACGAATCTGCTGCAGTTTGCGTCCGTTATATTAAATAACTTCTCGTCTGTGAGAGCACTGGTTAGTGTCATGGGACACACCTGCGTCCACTGAGACAGAAGTGGCCAACTGGGAGGGAAGTGGTTTGAATGTAAAACTACACAGATATCCTTATCGCATGTATAATGAAAAATAGAATTTTCTTGTATTCCCATCGGAGCCCCCCGCCTGAGGGGCCGATGTTAGAAGAGCAAGCAGCTCACATTCGGTATTAAAATGCACGAAAAACGATAATCTCGAAAGATCCCAGTCTCCTACTTGAAAGAAGGTGCATTTTCACGTAGATGTGCCAGAATGGAACTGAGAGATGAGTTCATATACTTTGCTAACATAGATGAAACCTCATTATACAGAGCCAGTAAAAAGAGGATGCGGTAGGCAAACGAACCTAACTGAACGGAACCACTACATCTAAGGATAATCGGGTTTCCTTTTTGCACTGCCTCCGTAAAAGGAGGACCATAGCTCTACCCCAAAAAAGCTCAAAAAGCGTGTTGGACGTTTACAGATCGACATGGGCCTTGGCTATTACTCACAACATTCGAAGATGTTTAGGGGAATGGAGCATGCACAGGCAAAAGCACAAGCGCCAGGTGTTGCTCTCACGTCCAAACACACCCCGACCACCACCATAACTAACCATTTCCACGCCCGTCCCCTCTAGACGTGCTCCACCGCCCCACCCCGTAACGGCACAAACACAGACCCGCGAGCGCGCCAAGTGTGTTCGTGATTGCCCAAGATTTCCCGAGGCGGCTGTCGCCGGCGACATTGCACTGGTGCCCCTGCTGCCGTCGTCATGGCGGTGGTGGCCGTGGCGGCGGGGGCGGTGGCAGGGGCGGCTGCATAAGCAGCTTTTGCAACGGCAGAAGCAGATCGCATCAGCGTCATCACCGAGGCCAACCCTCTACGTCGCCTCTACCCACATCCCTTCTCCATCCCACGGTCTCGGCTTCGCCGCCGCCGCTGGCGGACCGACTGTCACCCGCAGCTTGCTGTTGTCTGTTCGGACCGGCGATGGTGGGGCGATGGCAGGCGCGGTGCGAGCGATGATGCTTGGCCGCGGCCACCACCAGCACACTCAGCGAACCCTCACACGCGCACCAGCCCCTCTCCCCTCTGTTGCTGGCCTGTGCCCGAGGTAGTGATGCGTGTGTGCACGCACACACGCTGGTCAACATCCTCCCCCGTCACTCCGACCTCTCCTCCCTCGTCTGGCGACATGTAGCGACGACGACGACGGCAGCGGCAAGACGAAGCGGCAGCGGCGACGGTGGCGGGGGTTCGACGTCCACCGCCTCACTTTCTGCAAATTCATTCACCTTGCCATTCGTGAGCTCTCACACCTTGCCTCTCCTGCGCCCCCACTGGCGAACCCACGCCAGTCTCGCACCCTCTCCCCCACCTTCTTGGCCTCTTCCATAGCACCCTCAAGCAGCATCAACTGGCCGGTCATGAACAGGCTCGAGAACGGTGCTGTCGGGACTAATGAGCTCCTAGCGGGCGTGCGCAAGCAGAAAAGCTACGGCCGGTCTCGAGTCATGAGTGAGCATCGACCGAGCGCCGTCTGTTTGCCGGTCTTTTCTTCTGAGCCACCACGGCAGTAGCGTTGTGGGGGTGAGTGGATGTAGCGTATAGGGTGAGAGAAAATGAGAATAGGGTGGGATGGGAAGGGCGCGAATAGACACGCACACACAGACACACGCGCCTAGTCCAAAGGATGACTGGTGTTACCATCACCCCTTTTCGCCCTCTCCCTCTCGCGTTCACACACCCACGAACGCACTCAGCTGCACAACGCACGAGGGAAGACGAAGACACAAGACCACATGCGACCACGTCGAAGTGTGCAGCCCTCCACCCTCCCTACGCGATGCTGGGTTGCCAGTCTGCTCCTGCCGCCCTAATTACTACCGCCGCCACCACCGCCCACTTCCGTGAGTGATGGTCCGGTTCTCGGGTGGAGGAGGGGAGTGGTGTAGTCAGGGTGAGTGGTCACCTTACCTGATGGACGGCGACGGCAAGCGTGCAAGCACGGTCAAGGGTTGCTTCCGCATTCCCACTTCTCTCTTTCGCCCTGCCTATAGCGCGCACGCGCGCAGCCTCGAACCAGTCCCATGGGGCGAAGCGTTCTGCCACAACGATGACGATGAGAATGGTGATGACGGTCGTGGTGGTGGTGGTGGTGGTGTTCGTTGTCGTCGTCGTATTTGCCATCACCGTCCAGGTCGTTGTGGTCGTCTTCCTCCTCCTCCTCCTCCTCCCCCTCCTCCTCCACCCCCCATTTCCTACCTCGTGGTGTGGAAGTAGTGGACCAGAAGCGATGCGGTGTGGCTGCCTGCCCTGCTCTACTTACCTCATATCTGTCGTCTGCATACCATCAGGTGTTCAGAACGAACGAGGTAGTGAGGAAGCAAGTTGTCGCTAAGCCTCAGCACAAGGCGTGCGAAGGCTCGCTGACGTGTTTTCTCGGGCCCTATCAGACCCTGCGCTACCCTTACCACCCACCCAAACGCAACCGCCCACACACCATATTTCACCCGCAGAACCCGACTGGGACTACCATTGAATGGGTGGATAGTGGTGAAATGCTTATGAATGGGAGTAAAGTGAGGGCGACTTGCACAATGTCCACCGTACTGTGTCCGCTCCCTCTCCAATCAGGTTACAGGTGGAGCCGCCGCCAAGTTTGGTCAGATCCCCAGACCACAGCCGGTGTTAAAATATTAAGCAGGGCGAAGATCAGGCACCTCGTTCAACTTTCATGCACGCGTATATTATGTCGATGGAAGTTCCAATAAGGCCACATTAAGGAGCCATCGCAACTCGATTCTAATTTCGAAGGAGCCATTTATCCAACCGGTTGGCAACACGCCGACTGACTGTCGACGAGTTTAAGGTTTACCGAGGCAGCACCGCTCATTTAGGGCCTACCATTCAAAAAAATTTTCGCCCATCCTATTCGCCGACGATCACTCATTTATATTTCGCATGTGAATCAAACATTCTCTACAACCGAAACGCTGGATCAGTTTCAGTGATTGTGAACTCATAAGATGATTAACACTGATGAAGTCCAGGTAGTCCAGCTCCGGCCGGAAATGTGCACCGGTAGTAAAGACACATTAGAGTTATCGGCAACCACTGGCACGATTTTCGGCACCAGTTGTTACCTGACTTGACAGGCCAATCCAGGCATGGAGTCTACCGTTGTAACGATGATAGCGGTGTTCCTGGGGGTGCCTGTAGCGAAAGTCGTTTTGTCAAGTGTTACTCTAATATCTCGGTGAGGTGGCTCTTTCATTAGACCAGAATCTGATTTCGTACTGTAAGAGGGTTAGGCATACGACATAAATAAGGGACACGGGGTCCGGGATACGGTTCTATTACTTGACGTCTCAGATCCTCCGATAAAAAAAAAACAGTTCAACCGTCGTTACCGACGATGTCCGCCGTGTGTTCTAAAACAGAGTGATAGCCGGGACGATGAACTGCGCATGAATTAGTTTATCGTGATATTAGACTTGCGTAGCATCTACTAAACTCTCACCTCTCCATCCGACCTGGGCCCAGGGTCAAGACAGAGTCGAGAAGATCAGAGGCGCGAGTGGGTGCAAGTGGCTGGCACGGCGAAAACCCTCACCTCAGCGTACTATTACACTCCCACAACATGCACTTGCCAGGACTTTACACAACGGTAAAAGGGCGGACGGCTCGGATCCCAATGCGCGGGGAGTGAACCTGTACCCAAATGATGGTGTTTGTTACTGGCGTGCATTCCTAACAACGCCTGCCGGACGCCGATCTTGTCCCCGTGTTGGTCCAGCGCATCTACCGCGTGGCCCGCTCCAAGGACAGAGGTAGGACAGCCCAAGGTTCTCTTTGTAAATTCCCCAGTTGTCATCTTGTTGAAATTTTCGGACCCACTCGGTGCCGAAATATCAAGCAGAATGCAAATGAAGATGACCACAGCTACGTTGAGCAGAAAGAATCTACGGCGGTTGCGGCAGACTTGTTGGTTTCCTTATAGTTTCGAAAGATGATGCTTTTGGCATCATTGGAATCTTGTGGCATCCATCCCTGCCTGCTTACCTCCCGGAAGTCTAGAGCCACGGTGTCCATAGATCTCACTGGGCAATCAGTCGAAATCCATAGGCTTTTTCCGAGACAGTCACTGAGCTGCTCAATTGTGACTCGTGAGCTTGGAAGGAGACCCATGCTAACGTTGACTTCAGGTAGGCAAGTCCGTTGATCACGTGGCGGCAAACTAAGCGTGAGCTAATAAGAGAGTTTCAAAATCACTCAAATCAGCGACCCAGACTCTGAACTTTGACGACAGCGATGTGGTTTATCTGACCCGACTAGCTGTGAAAGTCAATCGCAGGGAACCTTAGACCACCTTCAGAAATTCTTTAATTATTGGCGACCGAGGCATGCCAGAATCTCTTCTGCGATGTAATTTGGTAACTTTTAAATAAAAGTTAGGGCCTCATGTTCAGCGCCGAATCAATAAACTGACCTCTCGACCCCCCTCCTCCGAAGGCCGGACGTGGCAAGAGGTGGATGCTACAACTAACACGACGTGTCCCCCAGTGACTCGGCATCCACAAACGTTGGTTATAATAGGGGGGCGGACAGGCTAATGCTCATACAAGACCCGCATAATATTAGTGAGGAGGCTGCACCGGGCGACAGCGCACCACCACTCCTCAACCAAGTTAATTTCACAAATGCTGACAAACGTGGTCATGGTCTAGTCACCAGCCCGGCAACTAGTACGTTAAGGGGGGGGGGACAAAACCCTGCCAGCTCAGTTTTAGCAACCTGCAGGCAGATGGCACGAAGATGGGGATGGGTGAACTCGACCCATAAAGTAGGGTATTCTGCGCATTTTTGGCTTTAGGTAATGAACAGTATACCCAAATGTACAAGGTATCTGATTATAAATAAACGCACCCGATGACCTCTTATGATTTCTCAATCAGCCGCATGTTTTAAATCCTTGGAAAGGGCCTGCTGCAGGAGTCAACAGCACCGCTGCTTCGGGAAATTCTCTTCTTCTGGTGAACTTGCCTCTTCTCAGATGGCAGGAAGCTAATCTCTTCTTCTGTCTGATCAAATCATCCCTGGGGTCATCGTCAGATGGGCCACAGGAACTGCGCACATGCAGCGCGGATCAGGTCTAGAGGTGTGCCCCAGCAGTGTTCAACATCTTTATTAGCATGCAGTTGTGGTTAAAGAAGTTGCATATTTTTATCGTTCTTAGTAAGACATATTTTTTAATTTTTTCTCTGGCGTAGACGAATGTATCTGAATAATTAAGTTCGAACTCATTCGATCCTTCTTTCAACGGGACCAGATCAATAGCCTCATCTTATGGAATAGTAGCCGATGAGTAGCCTAGCAGTCGCCATGATATGCGGAACTTTTCAACGGCCTGTGTCGACGACCTCTCGTCATCGTGTTTGCCCAATCCAATAATTACCGGCGTTGATAGCGCTTGTGCGTCCACATTACCTTTTTTCAGACGGAGAAGCAGCGGCTGCTGTTCGCAATGGCGAAATGATGTTCGCCCAGACCTCCGACAGAAGAAGCCAGTTAGCGTTAAATATGCCACCCCAGTTAATACTGATGAGCCCTTACCGGACAACGTAGTCCGGGCACTGTTCGAGGACGAAGATGTTCGAGGACGGGTTGGATGTCCTCGTGGAAAAAGTCGCGCAGCCCGTCAGCGCCAAGTTAATTCTGACTTTGGTCGTTTTGCCATTAAGTTCACCTGAAAGAATGGACGAAGTCGCTCTGGCGGAAGAGGGGCAGCAACACGTATCATTCGCGTTTGCTGAGTTTCGACCGTAGATAGACCGCCCGCCTACCCCGACCAGTTGATCGGGGGCCACCTCCCCAACTCTCTTCCTCCGAAAGGAGGTTAACAGGCAGAGCTGCTGTAGCGAGTTGCAGGAAAAGAGACTTAAACAATGGGGGCTTCATAATGCATCGCTGCAGGAACATGAAATGTGTTGTTTTCGTTGAGGTGAATGGAGTGAAGTGAGTTATCAGGATTTGTACGTGAGTTGAATTACATTGAGAGAGACTGGCTCAGCGCTAGCCTCGCTACTTTTCACCTTACCATGGTCCAGAGTGAAAACTAGGTCAGGCCGACTAAAGATGTTATCATGAGCTGTGGCTGACCCGACTGTTCGTCCCGTCCATCGCGTGCCGTGCAAATGCTGAGAGCCCTCAACCGACAAAAACCCGACTCCACCCGTTGCGTTATGATATCGCAGACAGTCACGATAGCGCCACACCACGAAGGAGCCGACGCAATCTAACTTTCACTCCCGAAGATTCAGTTGTCCCACTAGTTGGCAATCTTCCAAACAGTGACTTCGAGGGCGCTGAAACAGCTCAAATGAACGCTAGCTAAAATGTTGTAGGGAAAAAGTAGCACAGGGTCCGTCTCACTCGCCCTCCCTTGTCCCAACATGAATGACTGACGGGTTGGGTCGAGGCAGGGGGACATGTGCGTTGTGCGGTGAGTAAGCAGGTATTTCTCTTTCCATTTCCTGCGTATCGCACATGAGTTCGTCGTCTGACTAACACGAAACAGATGGGGGCCCACTCAAATAACATGGATTTGAGGGTCATCTTAAGGCCATAGTAAGACCTACTAGCAAAGTAGCCCTTAATCCTGCTCCCGAAACACAAACATCACACTCAAGCACTCCAAATGTTAACTTCTTCACTATTTTCCCAAACCGTCTGCCTACATGTAGATGCAATTTACCTTTTCCTTAATTCCTTATATGCACCCCTGACCGGTTATCTATTTAAAAATTGAATGTGCTATTCTAGTATTTGGATGTCCTGAATTTCCATATAGATTTATCGTTAGTATTTCTATTCCAGTTAGAGCTGCAACTATAATTTCGGGGTAATGGTTGAGTATATGCGCAGGGTAAGAAAAAGCTGTTGTTTAACAAATTCGGCGGCATTTTGGCGCTCCTGCTTTACTGGTAGAATTATGGACTCCGTCTAACAATATTTCGGGTATTTTGTTTACTACCTGACTGCTTTCCGTGCCGAACGTTTTTCAAAAATGAGCCTTCCCCTTTCTAAAGAATTACGTGTGGGGATGCGGAACAAGGAACCAATATTGATATTTCAGCAGCGCTGACTCCTCAGGGGCAGTACAGGTCAGCGAACGACATCCTGCCGACGAAGGGCCGACCAACAACTCTACCGAGCAACATCTACTTTGAAAATATTGTAAGAAGTTCTCCATAGTTTTTTTTTACCCCGTGTCCAATGCG